TCCATTCCCTGTTTCTTAAGTATCAGAATATTTTGGAAAGCTTACAATCTGCCGGAATCCAAAAGTTTTCAGTGAATAATTAACTATATTACGGATTTCATGACGGGATATTTCGTATAGCACATTTATCATTGTAGAGGTCACCCTATCAGGTTCAGGAGCAGCGGGCGGTAAGCTCTTCATCACATCCGCCAGTTCAGCTAAAGATACCTCCTGGAAATCATAATCCACCCTTGATTTCACAATAGACTTTGGCATAATTGTCGTAAACCTGGTTTGCAAGCCTTTAGAAATATTTTCCAAGAAATCAGAGAGTTCGCGAGTGGACATAATGGCATAATAAATGCTTTCTGCCTGTGGAATCATTTTTCTCACACGCAAAAACCTGAAAAGCGCTTTCTTATTTTTAGACTTAGACAGATAATTAAATTTATTACTATCATAGTCTTCTTTTGCTTTGCACACTACACGCCTAATATCAGCGGCCATGAATTTATAATCACTCCACTTTTTGGGGGGCATTGGTAAATTAACAGCTTTTTCCAAGCCGCTTCTCGCTTTCTATACCCTCTGACACATTCTAGATTTAACCACGGGCTAAAAGATCCCGCTGTGTTTGAGTTTACAGTAAACGTGGAATTTTTTATTGGTCGTTTCAATACCGCACGTAGACTCATAGCCCTAAGGTCTTCCTGCATTTCCTTGCGAAAAATTTACGTAGAATTTAAGTCTAACTTAGCATAATTACGAATGTGCTAACTTTCCCTGCCAAACTAAACCTCGAGAACTTAATTTCAAAACTAATGGGAAGTGGTCACTAGTTTGTAGCACAATTTAATATACTCCGCGAGGATATGCCTAAAGTGGAGCTGGAAAATGTTAAATAAGTAGTCGATTTAGAGTTACCTCTTACAAATGTAGCAACGTGTGAGTTCAAGCAGGAAAAGTTATTATCAAGCGTCCATTCCCACAAACGTCTTTCACATACATCATATCTGAAGCCCCAAGATACATGGTGTGAATTGTAATCACCACACAGTAATATTTCTTTTCTGCATGAAGCTAACATATTATCGGGCATCTCGTGTCCTGAACTCCTGCAGGAAAGTATACATTTGCAAAAGAAAAAGGCAAACAGTCTGGTAGTGTTATGTCTAACACCAAAACATAGGCCGAACCAACTAACTTCCTCTGCCTCTACGTTTGTCCCAAACCATGGCCCGGCTGATACCGTATCAATACTAGGACTAGGTCAATGGAGTACGACAACTTACGACTGTAGTTTTTTGCTTTACACATTTGTAATCTGTTAAGTTGTATTCACACAATAAACGAAATCATAATTCGACCCTGGAGATCACGTACTGCGTCACCATACGCCACCAATTCCCATGTCCTCACTTCGGTCCAAGCGGAACAATTCGTGAAACGACGGAAGCCCAAATCAACATTTGGATCCTCGAAAGCGATGTCGAAATGATCGCTGACAGCGTGAATTCTCCCCGGTCGTGTGAATGCTGGCTGCAGAGCAATTGGAGTAGCGTCATATGTCCCGCGACTGATCCATGTGCGATCACGTTCATCGGGCCAATACAGCTTAAAGTGCTTTTCATGCATCTACATCACACCTTACCGTTATTTCAAGCAGGGATATCAATCCCTTCATGTTTTCACCTAATTAGAATCCCCTCATTTCATATTTCATTTACCAATGATACTACGACAGTAAAGTGACTAAAATAAGGTCATGCGCTTTTTTTAATATGAGAACTCTTCCCAACTGCGAGCTCCCTCTACCCTGTCCCCAGCTACACTTATATCACTACCTCTAAAATGAGAGCTGTTCGCGCCTCTCATTAAGTTTTATTTATTTATTTATTTATTTTGTTCAAATACTTGCATTGAAATTCATCTGGTGAAACTTTGGCATTTTAAATATACTCCGAGAATTATCGCAGCAAGGTCTAATACTTGCTGTCGTTCTTCTCACAACTTTTTTTAGGTTCATTTGGAGTGCTGTAAACTCAAGCAGTGTTAAATGTAGCTTTTCGCTATTTTGTCCTCAGAGATTTCTTGCGAACCTACCTCAAGGAACAGAAGAAGGTCTTGGGGTATCTTTATATTTGTATTAGCCACTCTACCGAAACCCTAGAAAGTGCGCAGCATGTAAAGTGTACAGTTGATCCTAGGCGCTCCCCGAAACTTTCTTGACACTGATGTACCTTTGCCGCACTTATTTTCCCAATATTCTTCTTCGAGTGAAACGAAGACAATAAAGATGCCTTAATAAAGATAAATGTAGCTCTTCTTTTGTGTTCATAAGTTTCGAAATTCCCGCGCGAGCGGCTGAGAGGTACGTCCTGTTGCGAAAGTGCACCGTAGGTAGCATTTTAATCCTCGCTTTGCTTACGCACGATGCAAACTGTATACGTGAGAAAATTTATCATTGAAACATTGCTCAATTTCATTAATTACTCGCGTTTTGAGCACGTTGTACGTTCTAGCTCACCACTCTTCCGAAAAAGAGGATAAGAATAGAGTGTTCGCCGCACACAATGCTCGCCGAGTCTTACTTGCTACTATAATGTCTCTCTTCGTCCTTGGCGTTGTTTACGCCTCAACAAGGTTCACGCATGGGCACGGGCGTCTTTGTTGAAAAGCGAGTGCTTATACGCTTTTCGTGACCCTCCCACGACGTCACCCAAATCCTTCAAAGAGTGAGGAAGAGAGGGACATCGAATCTAGAAAGAAGCAAAGGAGTCAAGGGCAACAGAGATAACGTTTCTTTATATATCCCTTAGAGATAATAGGCGGCGACGAAACACAGATACCTACAGATGACTTAGAGATACTTAAATGGTGTGGGCACCGGCCATCACAGTTTTCTTCACCACCAGACGTTCTGGAGTTAGGCTCATTCGACCGCTCAGCGAGCTGTGAGATCGCTGTTTTCTATGGCAGTGCTTCCTTCGCGCTGGCACAACTAGGCAGCCTTCATACAGGTAGGTATGTCTACGCATACCATGCTTCAGTGATTTTTTTAAACTAAACAGCTCTTGTATTCCAGTACTCGAGTTCTAACAGTCAGGTACGTTCATTGCGTGGGCACTCAGAACTGGAAGTCAGCCATTCATGTGATGACTTGTATGGGCCGACTCTTACGACCCGAAAAACTCGAGATATTATGCTCTGTAGCACAGAAGCTTCCACACGTTCGCACGGACCCCTGTTCTCTTTAATGACCCACAGGCACCTGGGCACACTCCCGCACAAAGAGTTGCACAAGATCAAAATCTCCGCACTCATATAGCTGTTTCTTACAGAATCTGGAAAAGTACAAGCAGCCACATCATGGTAAAAACCCGGGAAAAGAGGTTATTTTTTTTTTCTTTTTCGACACGTAACATTTATCACATGAGCTGAGTGTAGAGGGAAAACAATGCTAGTAGAATCGGTTAATCAACGTCGTCTGGCTTATAAATTATGTTTTGTAAGCTGACCTCATGATCTTAACTAGGCGCTGTGGTCGTGAGGGAGCCTCAATGTAAGCTGCGTTCAAGAGACGTGAAGGAAACATTATAAAACACGTTTGAGGTGCGTTTGAGAATTTCGAGAATGCAAAGCCGAATTTTATTCTTTTAGTGTGTTCTCACAAAGGGCTCCCCGGAATCCTCATATTCGTTCTTCAGATCTCATACATTGAGATGAATATGTATGAGCCAACAATGCTCACTTACTGAGAATGTATGACGTACGAGCCATCCCTGAAACAGTTTTTTTCGTGAGGCTTTATTACGACGCTTCCATGTTGTTTGTGCCTTATGGGCTATGCGAGTACGCTAGTGGAGTGCTCATAAGCGAGAAATCATCGCCGTGTCTCGCGGCGTTCACCGTAAACGAAGGACGGTGGAAGCGCGTTTCGCCTGTCTCCTGGTACGTCTTCTTGTCGTCTTCTATAGTCGTGTGTATTCTTTCTCTCGTTCTGTTTGTTGTCGTGTGTGTTTTTGTGTGTGTGACTACCATGACACCCTACTTGGCTTCCTCGCGTAAGATACTACTTGGAAACCTAGATTGGATGTAGGAGATTCCCTGAATCCCTTGTGTATGTGTAAATAGCATGTCCCCAGCGGAAGAATCATTCATCTTTTCTTTTTTTACTAATATAAGGAACACCAGTTTGCCAGAAGAGGACGCTGAGATTATGTGTGCCAGCCCTCACGAACATCAGCCTGTCCTCGTCTCAGGCTATTTCGCATAGTAGTTTACGAAATATTTATCACGTAGTTTGCATTTATCTGTGCATTTTCATCTCAACATTCAATTATTAGTGCCAAAAAATTCATTTTCAGTGATTAGAACCACAATACCCGAAGCCCACCTCTATCGAAACATGTGCTTAGGCATCATTGTCTGAAATTTTTTAAGTTCTTTTCTCGAAGGTTAAGGGTGGGCCGGGGGGAGAAAGGAAAGGGGCATTTTAAGACACGTGGATATTTCGAACTAGCATCATCACTCCAGAGCTATAACCATATATAGCTTCGAACAAAAACAGACACGTACAGAAGGACAACAAACCACCAGCCCAGATCCGTTCCCTATGTCTCTAAGTGCAACATTTGTACATATATTTAGCCTGATTTAGCAAAGTTTCGTTCATTAAAAAATTGCCTCGCAGTCACTTTCTCTCGTCACGCTTCGCATCACGTCGATTCTCACGGTAGGTTGAATCTAGCGAATTTTTCAAGCACGGAGTGTCAACGGAGCTTCCGGATCTGCAGGTTAGAGGTTCAGTCGTCACCGACGAACTGCTGCCTTGTAGAAGACGACACCTCTTGTCGAAACATTGGCTCCAAAGATGGCTGTTAACGTGAAGATCTTTTTATCGCTTCGAGCTTCTATCTACTCTTGAACCTCTGCCTTTTTGGACTGTCTCTTGTTGTGTCAGTATATTTTGCTTGCGTCAAGTATAGTTGCCTGTTTTCTCTCTCTGCAGCTTGGAAAACAAGGAGCCCACAGGCGCACATAACGCAGCCAAGATGAGATTCACGCTGAATCCAGTAGCGTTGTCCAACCACATCGTTCGGATGGGGGATCCCCGAACGCGCGACTATCCGTTGGTCACCAACCCACTCTTCGTATTCCCAATGGTCGCCTTCTACCTGTACTTCGTCAAGGTGGCTGGTCCACGCTGGATGAAGGACAAGAAGCCCTTCGACGTCGTCAACCTCGTCCGTGTGTACAACCTGTTCATGGTGGCAATGTCGATAAGGTTCCTTTACCTCATGCTGCCGTTCACGTACTTGCCCGGCGGCCACTATGACCTCTGGTGCCAGGGCATCACGGGCTACATGGACGACGAGATGAGGGCCTACTACAAGCAGGGCTGGGTCTTCACAGCCGTCCGGTACGCCGACCTGTTGGACACGGTGTTTTTCGTGCTGCGCAAGAAGTTCACCCACATATCGCACCTGCACGTGATACACCACACACTCGTGACCATCAACGTGTGGTTCTACACACTGTTCGCGCCAGAGGGCCAGCCGGCGCTGGGGCTGGCACTGAATGTCGCTGTTCACGTTGTCATGTACTCGTACTACTTCCTCACCACATTGGGGCCAAAGGTACGCAAGTATCTGTGGTGGAAGAAGTATCTTACGGCTGTGCAGATAGTTCAGTTTATCATCATGATCATTCACTTTTCCATACCGCTGTTCGTTGACTGCGGCTTTCCCAGGCACCTTATCATCATCGGAAACGCGCAAACTTTCCTCGTGTTGTGCCTTTTTGTCAACTTTTACGTCAAGAACTATTCGCGTAGTGACTCCTCCTCGACGAGAAAGCTTGCACCGGAGCCGATGCACGACAATTCCGCGTCGGCTTGTAAGGCTGAGTAGCTTTAGTCCTTACAGCACGTAAATGCACCAGCAGCATTGGGACGTAAAGCTTGAGTCAAACCACGATGACTATTTGCCACTGCTCTAAGTACAAATGCTGTGATCACCCAACAGCACCCTACATCATGACGCGTTGAGCTTGTTCTGAACTTCCTTGTAGGAGCATAGAAATGTGAAGTGGTAAATGTAATTTTTTTGTGTGTAAAATGAAACTTTTGCAAAGCCACAAACATCCAGACTCGTACGTATATGCGACAGTCGAGACTTTCATCAGTCCTACGCAACCTTTTACTTTAAACAATGCTCAACGTCACTACTTTTCTTTTGTATCTGTCTCTGTTTACAAGGGTGCTCGAATATACCACCTCTATACTTTGTAGAAACATTGTGCTGGCAACCATGTTTCCTTACGCTGCAACAGTAAACTACTTCAGAAGCACTTATGAGTAGTTTCTGTTGATAACTTTGTGTTCTTGTATTTCTTACTGAATGTTTGTGTCACAGCTACGAGACGATTATTAGACACGACGTGATGGATTCAAGAATGACTCTGACTGACTGGGGTTCCTTAGCGTGTGCCTGAATTTAAGTGCACCAGTACTGTTACACGTCAACCACCTGAAACTTTGGCCACCATGGCCGTGATTCGATGATGTCAGCTACTGTCTAACAGTGCTATGCCATAGTCACAGAGTCACCCAAGAGGGTCCTTTATCCCCAAAATGTTTCCCAATGCTTTCACTGTCAAGTTTCGTGATTCAGTGTCATTTATTAATGAAAGTGCGGGAAAATGTGATTGCTGGTTCAGTCCACGCTATAGTTGCTCCTTGTTGCTTCTCCTTTAAGATGTGTGTGTTTTCGTATTAGGCGACAGCTTGTGGTGTTACACTTGTAAAAGCACCTCTGCATGGCATGTCGAAAACTTGGGGAGGGAGGGGGGATGTATCTGTTGAGCGCTCAGAGTTGTAGCGTGTGTCATTTCTCCCGTAGTGTACGAAAGGTAACCAAATAAAATCGTTTCGCAGTCTCCGTCTTTTTATTCCGACTCGCTAATCAATTTCGCAGCGTTACATTTGTATTTTTCGGTGGGTATTTGAGCATGAGAAGAGAGACCATCATTCGTTTCTCGCTTTCGTACATGCGGCACTCAGTCTGTTCAAACAATACCTGCCGAATATTTGTGATAAAGAATAGGTTTCAGGAGTCTTACTTATTAAGCTTACTGTCCCAATGATTACTGTCCCGACCCATATTTATGACGTAAAAACTGGGGGTCATCAGAGTTCGCAAACATGGAATACTGCACGCACGAAAAAACTGTAGATACGAGATTCATTCAAATTGTAAGGGCCGTTTTGTCCCCCTGAAAATAAATATTCACTTGCAAAATTTTCTTTGGTGGGTTCAGTTTAGGGCAACCCTACTTCGCATATTTACATAATCACCGTAAACATCCAAGCACTTAGAAATACTTGTTGCTGGGCTTCTTTGTTCGTCAAACTGAGGGAACTTCTAGACGCCTAAACCACCACAAGAAGAAAGACACCCAGAGAAAGAGCAGTCAACTCGCAACTGATTTATTTGCAGGAGAAACGCAGGAAATATATAGCCGCACCACACATGTGCAAATTACACTTGTTCACCTAGTCAAATGACCACAAATAAAACTGGGGACATACAAAAAGCCATATCTAATCAAGCAATAAAGCGCGAAACTTAAACTGTGACATGTGCGAAACAACTGACGTGTCACTTATACACAAGCCACTTTTTTTCTTTATCCATAACGCTTCTATTATTTCACGGGCAGAGCATCTGAGCTTTTTGCGAGGACCGAAACCAATGCCTCTATGCAAGCACTCTTTGTACTGCTGCACCAGATGCTTTAGTATCTATGCACGGCTAAGTTTGCCATTTTGGAATTTCTTGCTGTTTGAGTTGGTCGGTAAGCACAATTTGTCGATTCCGACATTCTCAGCTACAGTCACATAAAGTGTAAAGCATTGAACAAAATGAAAAGAACCAGACAGGCTACAAATTGTCAGTCATCATCATAATCGCAACTTTTGGTTCATATTTGCAACAGTTTTATTCGTCCTGATGCTGAGCTTACCACTTAGCTTTTCTGCGTGCAAATTCGGCGCATCAAGTATTGGGCCCTATTTTATGAGCTTTCCTCCACTTTCTACACAGTAGGTCCATAAAGTAGGAGCAACTCCCCATGAATTTCAGAAGCTGATCACTGTTTAGCCGGCAAAAATCTGATTACAGCTTACACTTCCCAAATGGCGAAAGCAGCAATTCTCGCGGGCAGTTTCATCTCCGTCGCCCATCAAGTAGATGACTACTGAGCCAGAGCAATGATTTCAGAACCTTGCTGAAGAATGTACAAATGGTCCTGCACAAAGGAATCTTCATCTGGAGGTGCAAATTAGCCAATGGCCTTTAATTTTTCTTTTAAAGTAACCCTCCTATGAACCACTGATTCGTAGAGTTTGATTATAAGGCAGCCTTCTCGATCAGTGTCAATGACTTCCATTTCATTTTGTTTATTTACTAATACTGCAATACCAAGTCTGCTCAATGTAGCCTAAACAATAACTGTATTCTACGAAGCGCAACAGATAAAATGACGCGGGGACACATATTACGGCCGCGGGAACTAGCCCACGATGATGTTCATGCATACACTGATAAATTGCCACTTTAGCCTCCTAAACGCTGCTTCGGGTTACAATTAAATGGCACCTAGTTGGTTTATTTCTTTTCACCTCGGAGCATTATCCGATTGCTGAAATATACGAAACTTCCTAAGCATGCATGGTGCACTTAAAGAGTTCTCCTGGCCAGACATTCGCAAACTAAAGTTTGTGTGAATTAATTAGTCATGCGACACTCCATGTATGTTGTGATATGAGTAGACTGAGTTTTCAGCCGAATGTACAGCCACCTTTCTCAACTTTTGTGACCAATAATCATTGGAATTATAATTGCTCCAATACCCTCATATTTCTGTTTCCATGATATTTATGCTAACAATATATTTCGTAATATGTGTAGATTAGGCACCTTTTATTCGGGCATAATTACTTCAGATTGTGTTTTATACGTGGCGGGAAGAACTAGAAAACCTACTCACGCCCAATCAGTTCAATATCGCACTGTCATTCTGCCTATTCTTCAGACCTATATAAGTGACACTACAGCTTACGAAGCAGTGCGGCGCAAACCGCTAGGTTCTTTTTTTATTATTAAAACATGCACTGGGTCACAATCAATCAATAGTTAAATCAAAACACAATTCAGGGACATACCTTCGCAATGAAATCAACAATATTCAGTTTTTTTTAATAGAAAGTAAGCTTGAAACAACTAGGAAACTATATATATATATATATATATATATATATATATATATATATATATATATATATATATATATATATATATATATATATATATATATATATATATATATATGCTGTCCATGTTTGAATAATTTAAAAGCCCCGCTCAGACTTGAAGATTGATTTGATTATTTACCATTGAATGTATTTTCCATATTTTCACGGTGATGTATGCACGAATGGGTGGCCGGATGGGTGCTATGAGCGCTTCTTTATAGAGATAGTAAATTTCGCGTCGTCATAATCAATTCTTTTTTTCATTTGGCCTAAGAGCTTCTCAACATGAAAGAAATATTTAAGAAATATTTATTATAAAAATTATAAATGCAACACATAATCCCAACCATTGTGGTTGGGGTATTCTCTTAAAGGGTAAGCAGTTCCAACGCACAACCACGTCTCTGCTTAGCGTAAGCGGGTGCTAGAACAGCCATTTGCCACGCAAACGACTAAAGTTTGGTCCCCCCCTCGGAGGCAAACAAGCCGAGTTCGATCTCCACTCTGACCGAGGATTTTGTATCATTTGTTTTGTTTGCGTTGTTCCGTATTTTTCGGCCACGCGTAAGACGATGACTTTACGTTTAAAACCACACGACGCCGACGCCAGAATTTATGCGAAACAAGCTATTTATTGTTATCGCGTTATAACTCCATATGCCACAATGGCATAGGGTAAAAACGGTTGATTGGGCGAGTTCCTTTTTTCATGATGAATTCAGACACGAGTGAGATACGTAGACAGAGACAGGGCGCTAGTCTGTGTCTTTCCCGTACCTGTCTACGTATCACGCTCGTATTCAAAAGCCATAGGGCCATATCGGACAACTTAAGCTCACGTGGTGCCATCTATACAACACACAAAGAAGTATAGCCTGCAGTCTAAAAGCATCTACTTCCTTTCCGCCAGTGGTCACATCGCCGCCTCGGACTCTCGACGGGGCAAGCTTATTACAGCTCCGCTGAAGGAAAACGGCACTTCGTTCATAACGACGGATGGCCAACAAAGAGTTCGTTGCGCATTTCCTCGAGTTCCTTCTCGAGAGATTACGATCCTGCGAGGGGACGTTGTTTGAATAGTCGCTACTTACGACAAATGGCCGCCACTTATGCAGCGCTTAAGAGGGAGGCCAGTCATCAGGGAGTGTCAGAAGCAGCGTTAAGAGTGACACGGTAGCCACTGTCTACACAACAGCGCGCAGGAGGAGTTTTTTCTAGCAACAAGCATGAAGACTTGCTCTTCGTTGTTTTAGATAGAAAAAGACCATGGTGTCCGCAATTATTGCTAAAAACCGAGCTTCGTGGTGCCCAGAAAGCTGCTTTGCGACTCTTCCGACAACTTCAATTTCTAGGAGGAAACTTCAGCCCGACACGTCTGCACGCAGAAATATCGTATCCAGGCAAAAATAACAATGTCTAACATTTAGAATGTCTAGAATATACAATATCTAACAGAAGGAATCACAATGTCTAACAAGAAACATCCGACCTCAAAACAAAACACCAGAATCACAATACATAATCGAAGCGTAACAAACATGAATTGTGTATCTTCCGATTAGATGGCGGAGAAAAGCGTGCTTTTCTGCGATACTTGAATTTTCACTCATCTCATCAGGCTATTGTGATGGTTCTGTGTGGCTTTGTCTGCAGAAGATAGTTTTTTTTTTCTTTTTTTAGTGTTGTATAGATCGCGCCATGTAAGGCTGAGTAGTGTAATATTGCGCTGTGGCGCTGTGGCAATGTGGGGTTACAAAGTAATATTCGGTAAAGAAGAAATATGTATACTC